CCTCCACCTTCAGTGCCAGTAGCAGCCGTTACTTCTTCTGTCTTTTCTTTTTCACCTGTAACTTCAGTTTGTTCTACATTAGCATCACCTTCAGCTTCAGTGCCAGTAGCACTCGTTGCTTCTTCCGTCTTTTCTTCTTTAGCTGTCGCAGCTTCAATTTGCTCTGCATTAGCACCTTCACCAGCTTCAGTACCAGTAGCACTCGTTTCTTCTTCTGTCTTTTCTTCTTCAGTTTTCGCAGCTTCAGTTTGTTTTGCAATAGCACCTTCACCAGTTTCAGTGCCAGTAGGACTCGTTTCCTTTTCTGTCTTTTCTTCTTCACCTGTCGCAGCTTCAGTTTGTTCTACATTAGCACCTCCACCAGCTTCAGTGCCACTAGCAGTCGTTTTTTTCTCTGTCTTTTCTTCTTCACCTGTCGCAGCTTCAGTTTGTTCTACATTAGCACCTCCACCAGCTTCAGTGCTAGTAGCAGTCGTTTTTTCCTCTGTCTTTTCTTTCTCACCTGTAACAGCTTTAGTTTGTTTTGCATTAGCACCTTCACCAGTTTCCGTGCCAGTAGCACTCGTTTCTTCTTCCGTCTTTTCTTCTTCACCTGTCGCAGCTTCAGTTTGTTCTACATTAGCACCTCCAACAGCTTCAGTGCCAGTAGCAGCCGTTACTTCTTCCGTATTTTCTTCTTTAGCTGTCGCAGCTTCAGTTTGTTCTGCATTAGCACCTTCAGGAGCTTCAGTGCCACTAGCACTCGTTTCTTCTTCTGTCTTTTTTTCTTCACCTTTCTCAGCTTCAGTTTGTTTTACATTAGCACTTTCACCAGCTCCAGTGCCAGTAACACTCGCTTCCTCTTCTGTCATTTCTGCTTCACCTGCCGCAGCTTCAGTTTGTTCTACATTAACACCTCCACCAGCTTCAGTGCCATTAGCAGTCGTTTCCTCTTCTGTCGTTTCGTATTCACCTGTTTTAGCACCTTCACCAGCTTCAGTGCCAGTGGCACTCGTTTCTTCTTCACCTTTTGCAGCTTCAGTTTGTTCTACATTAGCGCCTCCTCCACCTTCAGTGCCAGTAGCAGCCGTTACTT